GAGATGGGAATTGCCTGCTTCACGCAGCGTCTCAGTATCTGCTGGGGGTTCAGGACACAGATCTGGTGCTGAGGAAAGCTCTGCATGCGGTGCTGAAGGAAACGGACACGACTGATTTCCTGACGCGCTTTCAGACAGAGTTGTTGCACTCTCAGGAGTTCACACAGACCGGCCTGCGCTACAGCACGCTGGTGAGCGCTGGAAACCCCTGACACAATTTGTGAATCTGTTGTAGGCCTGCACCATGTTGGAAGAATCTGGCACTGTGATATTTGGTTTTTCTGTGATATATATATGGTGGCTCAGTGGTTAGGACTGTGGTCTCACAGTAAGAAGGTCCAGTTGGCGTTTCTGTGTGGAGTTTGCATGTTCTCCCAGTGTTGGCGTGGGTTTCCTCCGGGTGCTCAAGTTTCCCCCACATCAAACACATGCGCTATAGGGGAATTAATGAACTCCATTGGCTGTAGTGTATGAATGTGTGTGTGAATGTGAGTGTGAGTGGGTGTTTCCCATTACTGGGTTGCAGCTGGAAGGCCATCCGCTGCATAAAACATATGCCAGAATAGTTGGCGGTTTATTCTGCTGTGGCAACCCCTGATAAATCAGAGACTAAGCCAAAGGAAAATGAATGAAGCGTTTATAAATACAATGAAGCAAAGATGAAAGTGAAACTAACAGCGCTTTATGGTCTTCATTAGTTTCAAAAACACAGATTCGTTACAACTTCACAAGGCATCTTTGGACATCTTTCTTTTCTGTGGATTCAAGTGTGTGTTGTACATCGTCATGACTTTCTGTGCCTCAAATATTTTACTTGATGCTTGTTAAGATCGTGTGCACCGCAAAAAATACTTTTCCTACTTTTTTTTGGTCTTTTTTTTAGTCCAAATATATAAATGTTTTTAAATCGAGAAGCATTTTCTAGACAGGCAAATATCAGAGTTTCTGCAGGGTCTTAAAAAGTCTTAAATCTCTAAAATCCAAATTTTACACTGCAAAAAATGCTTTTCTTGCTTAGATTTTTGTCTTGTTTCTTATCCAAATATCTAAAAGTTCTTAAATTAAGAAGCATTTTCTAGACAAGCAAAACATATTGTCTTGTTTTAAGAAATAATATGCCAAAATGAAGCAAGTTTTTCCTTAAATCAAGCTAAATAGTCTGCCAATGGGGTAAGCAAAATAATCTTATCACAATTCGAAAAACAAGATTATTTTGCTTACCCCGTTGGCAGATTATTTAGCTTGATGTAAGGAAAAACTCACTTCATTTTGACAGATTATTTCTTTAAACAAGACAATATGTTTTGCTTGTCTAGAAAATGCTTCTTGATTTAAGAATTTGTAGATATTTGGACTAGAAACAAGACAAAAACTCTAAGTAAGAAAAGTATTTTTCGCAGTGTAGGCCTTATAAAGTCTTACATTTACTGAAATATTGTGTTGTGGTCCTAAATCTTTTTAAACAGATCTTAATTTTCCTTTGTTCATGTATTCCTACCAAATCAGTTACCAGCAATCATCTCAATATATCAAAACTTTTTTTATTTAAAAAGGTCATTTTTAACTCTATTTTATTTAATTATTTTCCTTACAATAACATTTGTTTTAAAGTATTTTCTGCTGAGGACACCGACTGTTGTGCATCAGTGTGATTTAGTTTATTATACTTTTTAAAACTTTAAAAACATTTGTTCATTTTTTTATGTTGGGGAAAAAAGTGTATAGATACAAGTAAAGCATGCTTGTGTTTACACAATATTTAAAATATGTAGCTAAGAAAATATTTCAATTGTTTATTATTAATGTAATAATGCATTATTAAATGTGTTAAATTAAAATATATATTTTTTGATTGGTCAAATAAAAATCTTTCCCATCTGGGCCATTTGAAAAATTCCTCAGCCTTTGGCATTTTAATTAGAGTCTAAAATTTTATTCATAATGGTCTTAAAAATGTCTTTAAAAGTCTTAGATTTAACTCTGTCAAACCTGCAGAAACCATCAAATATATTTTGAGTCAAAATTATGTTTTTCCTTAAAAGAAGTGAAACAATCTGCCAATGGGGCGAGCAAGATAATCTTGATTTAGCTTTGTTTAATTACGCATTTTAGCTTGATTTCAGGAAAAACTCACTTAGTTTTCATTGCTTCTCATATTTTTTTTTACATGTCTAATGCTTCTAGATTTAAAAATATTTCAATATTTGCCCCAGAAACAAGACAAAAACTGTAAACATGTGAGGCAAGAAAAACTCGATGAGCCTATAGGCGGTTTTCTATGAAATCCATGCCAAACGTTAACATCGGGTCATTTTATAATACAGTAGTGGAGGATGTGCTCAATATTCGTCAGTTGTATGTAAAACAGAAACACCACAGCTAGATGATCAGATCTCTGCAGATGTGCTAAAATAAAAGGCTGTTTTGCATAGTTGTGTTTGACGCATGAAAACTGCATACGTCAATGCAGTGAATAAAAGTCCATCTTAAGAACAATCCAAACAGTGTTCAGGGTCATATTAAAGATCATACTGTATTTCTAGATAAACATCCATTTTATTTATAAATGAGGAAAAGAGTGAAGACTTTGTTAATGATATAGGAAAACATGTGTGTGCATTCAGACTGGAGTTTCAGTGCAGCTTTAAAAGAGGAATGCGAGTCTGATTAAGTGAAATGATGGTTGTGAAACTTCTTAAAGGGCCAGCTCAGCCAGAAGTGACTCCCATCCTTCACTCACTCTCCATTTGTTCCAAACCTGTTTGAGATTTTTTCTTTTTTCTTTCTACAAGGATTGTAGTGCTCGTGCATAAGTGTGTGTGTGATGTGTGTGTTTCTCAGAACTGGGAGGAGGAATGGGTTAAGATTGTAGATATGGCATCTCCCGTGTCCAGCAGTAACGGCCTGCAGTTCGACTCTTTAGAGGATATTCACATCTTTGTGCTTTCAAATATTCTGCGGAGGCCGATTATCGTCATTGCAGGTACAGTATGTGTTCAACGCAACAGAACAACACTGATATGTACACTGCAGAAATGTTCTTCTTACTTCTAGTCCAAATACAGTCAGAATTAATCAACCGCTGAATATTATTGCCCAATTTCTGTTTAACAGAGGTTTTTCTCTTCAACACATTTCTAATCACAATAGTTTTAATAACTCATCTAATAGCTGATTTCTTTTCTCTTTGCCATGATGACAGCACATAATATTAGACTAGATATTCTTCAAGACACTAGTGTTCAGTTTAATGTGACATTTAAAGGCTTCACTGGGGTAATTAGGGTAAAGTTAGGGTAATTAGTCATTGTATATCAGTGGTTTTTTCTGGAGACAATCCAACACTAATATTGCTGAAGGGGTGAATAATATTGACCTTAACATGGCTTTAAAACAATTAAGAACTGCTTTATTCCAGCCCAAATAAAACAAATCAGACTTTCTCCAGAAGAACAAATATTAGAGGAAACACTGTGAAAAATTCCTGAATCTGCTCAACATCATTTGGTAAATATTTGTAAAAGAAATTCACAGGAGAGCGAATAATTTGGACTTTTTAAGGAAGAACTTGCTTATTTTTGACTCATTATTTCTGAAAACAAGACAATATTTTTTGCTTGTCTAGTTGATTCAGGACGTTTTAGATATTTAGACAAGAAACAAGACACAAACACTAGGGGCTCTATTTTGACGGTTCATGTGCAGAGTGCAAAACGCAGGGCGCAAACGCTTTCAGGGTGTGTCAGGATGCGTTTTTGCTAATTTAAGGACGGGAAAATCCGCTTTGAGTCGTGGCGCATAATCTAAAAGGGTTGAGTTTATTTTCTTAATGAGTTATAGGTGTGTTTAGAGAATAAACCAATCAGAGTCTCATCTCCCATTCCCTTTAAGAGCCAGCTGCGTCACGCCAAGAGCGCATTCGCTATTTACAGGACGCAAAGTAAATCTAAGTGGAAAAAACTGAGCATTTCACAAGCAAACAGTTAACAGAAAACTGTTAAACAGAGCATCTACTGTGTGAGAATGAGAGATAATGGATCACTTTCACTTTCGCTCTTGGATAGGGAAACCTTTACACACAGACATCAATTAGTCTATAAATAATTAATTGCGTTTGTTAAGCGCAAATATTCGTTTCAAAACTATTTCTTAATTCAGTTCTAATCTCCAGCAAATTAATAAATGAACAATAATAACAAAGTGTGCTCAAAAACCTGAGTTATATCCTAAAACACATGCTGAGCCCCATATGGTCTAAAACCTGACAGGTGGACAAATCTAAGCTTGTTTTTAATAACACAAATATAAATATGGATATAATAAATAATACTGCTAATAATAATAACATTATACAAAAGCAAATTGTTATGAATGAACTGAAAAAGCCTCCCGAGATGAAGAAGACATAAAAGCAGTGGTTTTTCATATTTATGTCGGCTAGAAAATAATATGTTTTGTAATATTTTAATCCTTTATATTTATATCCTATATCTATTCTTATTATATCCTATATATATCTTTAATATTTAAATGTTTTCATATGTAAAGATATTTGCCTATTTCTCTCTTGTGTGTATTAAGCAGTGTGTAAGCGAGGTGCAACTCTGTGCTGGAGTTTAGACCGGGTTTGTTTTGGTCTAATGAAAAATCTATTTTAGTTTCTCAAAATAGCAACGCGCCAGTGGTGCGCCTCAGAACGCCTTCCTTTTTACACCAGAACGCCTATGGGCGCACATATGAGCGCTAATGCATTTGCTATTTAAACAGCGTAGCGCAACGCCTCAAAACCACTCTTGCGCCAAGCTGAAACTAGCAAACAACTATTGCGCCGCACCTTGCGCCACACTGCGCCTTGACTATAATATATGCTTGTTTTTTTTTTCTCAACAGATCAAGTACTCCGAAGTATGAAGTCTGGTTCCTCCTTTTCCCCCCTCAATGTTGGGGGAATATACCTGCCTTTGCATTGGCCTCCAGGTGAATGCTACAAATATCCCATAGTGCTCGGCTACGACTCGCAGCATTTTGCACCCCTGATCACAATCAAAGACAGCGGCCCAGGTACAGTATGCTCTACATCTCATATCGTACATTGCACGCATTTTCCATTCACTTTCCTTACTGGGATGATATACAACAAGCAAACCGAATCAGTTTCATTCATTCATTTTCCTTCAGCTTAGTCCCTTATTCATCAAGGGTCACCACAGCGGAATGAACAGCCAACTATTCCAGCATATGCTTTACGCATGGGATGCCCTTTCAGATGTAACCTAGTACTGGGAAACACCCATACATACTCATTCACACATGCACTACAGTTCATCAATTCCCCTATAGCGCATGTGTTTGGACTGTGGGGGAAACCCACACCAACACGGGGAGAACATGCAAACTCCACACAGAAATGGCAACTGGCCCAGTTGGAGCTCAAACCAGCGAGCTTCTTGCTCTTGGGCAACCATTTTAACCACTGAACCACCGCACCACCCCTACTGAATCCGCTATTAATGTAAAATAATACCAAATACCTGAATGTTTCTGTTGCTAATTGCTGTTTAATTTGTTGTTAACCTTTTCAAACTAGTGGACATTTTCACACATAAGTTATCTTCATGTGTTTGAGAATTGGATGTTTGTGTCCCGTTCAGAGATCCGTGCGGTGCCGCTGATAAACCCGGGACGGGGAGGCTTCGAGGAGCTTCGAGTTCACTTTCTGACAGAAAAGGAGCAGCAACAGAAGGAGAAGCTGCTGAAAGACTTCCTGATGCTCATCGAGATCCCGGTCATCGGCTTGGGCTACGATCCCACACAGATCATCACAGCGGCCAGGTATGAGCCTGCTGGTTAAACTAGAAAACACCCACATATACAGTTGAAATCCAAATTATTCACCCCCTGTGAAGTTTTAATTAGTTGTGAAATATTTCTCAAGTGATATTTAACATGGCACAGACATTTTTCATGCTGTTTCTTATTATAGACCGTTTCGAGGGGTGTAAACAAAAACAATGGTCCCAAATTTAATTTATGATTGAATTGCCTTTGAATTACCATATTGAAATGGGCAATATTTTTCTTCTGGAGAAAGTTTGATTTAGTTTATCTGAAAAAAAAAATATATATATATATTAGTAAAAATTGTCAATAATTTTAGCCCCCTTAAGAATCTTTTTTTCTGATTGTCTACAGAACAAGCCACTGTTGTCTAATGACTTGCCTAATTAAGCTAATTAACTTAGTTAAGTCTTTAAATTGTACTTTAAGCTGAATACTAGTAACTTACAAAATAACTAGTTAAATATTATTCATATTTATAAATAATATTATATAAATAATAATAAAAGGAGGGCCTAAAAATTTAGCTTTCAAATGTATATTGCATCTACAGCAACCTTTTATTTTATTGCAAACAAGGATTTTCTTACTTCGAGTTATTGTTTTGTTTCTAGTCCAAATATCTACAAAATTTGAAATGAAGAAGCATTGAAGTGAAAACAAATAAAAATTAAGTGAGTTTTTCCTTAAAGCAAGCTGAACAATCTTCTGGTGGCAAGTTTATTTTTGCTTACATCACTGCCAGATTATTTGGCTTGTTTCACTGAAATACTTGTTTTTTTTATATTTGTTTCTAAAAATAAGACCAAAAATTGTTGCTTTTCTAGAAAATGCTTCTTGATTTGACGATTATAAGATATTTGAAGTAGAAACGAGACAAAAACTCTCAACAACTCTTCCCACGCTTCTTGAAAGATCTTGAATTCTTAGTGGATTTTTTTAGTGGGTTTTAGTTGGCATTTCTGTGTGGAGTTTGCATGTTTTCTCCGTGTTGCCGTGGGTTTCCTCCGGGTGCTCCGGTTTATCCCACAGTCCAAACACATGCGCTATAGGGGAACTGATCAACTAAACTGGCCGTAGTGTATGAGTGTGAATGTAAGAGTATATGGGTGTTTCCTAGTGTTGGGTTGCTGCTGAAATGGCATCCGCTGCGTAAAACATATGCTGGATAAGTTGGCGGTTCATTCCACTGTGGTGACCCCTGATTAATAAAGGGACTAAGCCAAAAAGAAAACGAATGAATGAATTTGTTTATAGTTTTAGTTCAACAATTGTACTCAGTTGTTAAAAATGGAACTAAAGATCTGAGAAATTCTTAAAAGTCTTAAACTGAAATTTAGTAAAAAATACAGACAAATAATGCACTTTTTATAATCAATATTTCAGAAACCGCATTTATTTATGCCCAATATTGAATAAAAAAAAATTCATTAAAGTTCTTTGAACATGATTTTTTTTTTAAAAGGTCAATTTTTGAAAATGACTCTTAATTTTTAACTAAATATTAAGTGCGAGTGAAATGTTAAGTACAGTAAGGACTTTCATTCATTCATTCATTTTCTTGTCGGCTTAGTCCCTTTATTAATCCGGAGTCGCCACAGCGGAATGAACCGCCAACTTATCCAGCAAGTTTTTACACAGCGGATGCCCTACCAGCCGCAACCCATCTCTGGGAAACATCCACACACACACTCATACACTACAGACAATTTAGCCTACCCAGTTCACCTGTACCGCATGTCTTTGGACTGTGGGGGAAACCAGAGCACCCGGAGGAAACCCACGCGAAGGCAGGGAGAACATGCAAACTCCACACAGAAACGCCAACTGAGCCGAGGTTCGACCCAGTGACCTTCTTGCTGTGAGGCGACAGCTCTACCTACTGCGCCACTGCCTCGCCAGTAAGGACTTTCATGGCACTAAATATACTGGGGTATGAATTACAAAGGGGCTTGATTTAAAAATATTGGTTCTTTTAAAAGTCTTTGAATCTGCCGTTCATGAAAGTGTGGGAACCCTGTCTCAAAACAAAAAGTAAAAAACTCTTTATTTGCACCGTTTAAATCCAATTAATCATGATTAACACCACTAAACCTAAAATCTAGCAGCACGTTTGCCTTTTTAAAATCTCGAATGCTTTTTCCTCCAGACTGGATGAAGGGAATCTACCTGAGGATATGAACCTGATGGAGGATTACCTGCAGCTGGTGAACCACGAGTACAAGCGCTGGCAGGAGGACAAGGACTCTCTCTGGGCCCCGCAGTCCCAGCGTCCGCCACCGTTCTCCGTCTCTCAGCTCTCCTTAATCGAGATCCGCTGCGCCACGCCGAGATGCACTTTCTACGTCTCTGTGGACACGCAACCACACTGTCACGAGTGCTTCGAAAAGAGGCAGGCGGGACGCAAACCTGAGGCCATTTCTACAATAAATCAAACCTCATCCTCAGATACTGAAAGTCGCGGGAAAATGGAGCGCTCCATCCTGCCTAGTCCGAGGTCAGCGCCCCCTACAGCTCCAAGTTTAAGCCTATATAGTGAAACTCATGCTATGAAGTGTAAAACTCCCGGCTGCTTATTTACGCTCAGTGTGGAGCACGATGGTTTATGCGAACGCTGTTTTACTGCGAGGCAAAACCGAACGGCGGGACCGTCTCACGGCTGGTGGGCGTCGGGCGGTCGGGAAAGAGAACGGGACACAGAAAAATGCGTGATGTGCCGGCAGGAGGTGTTTAGGATATTTAATGGCCTCTGCCCACCGTGCATGCAGAGGACGGCTGTTTCTGAGCGGGAGGACACCCAGCAGCAGCAACAGCAGCAGCAGGAGCCCAGGACGGAGGGTTCGGTGTGGGCAGAACGCAGTGGGCAGACCTGGCAGACGCCCGCAGCCAGACAGTGCAAACGCTCTGGATGCCAGTTCTTCGGGACACAGGAGAAGCTGGGATTCTGCACCATATGCTATCTAGACTACCAGACCAATCACCGTGAGTGTTTTACGTAATATTGTCATGATAGTGGAATTTACAACTTCGATACGATACCTTGAAAAATATCGATATGCCAATATTCGTGACACTAATTCTCATAGCTACTCTTTAAGTTGAGTGTCCACCGAAGTGTTTTTTTGCACTGCAGAAATATGACTCGATATGCTAGCACGATATGGTATCTAGACTACTAGACCAATCACAGGCAGTGTTTTACGTAATATTGTCACGATAGTGGAATTTACAACTTTAATACGATACCTTGAAAAATACCAATATTCATGACAACACTGATTCCCATAGCTACTCTTTAAGCTGAGTGTCCACCGAAGTGTTTTTCTTTGCACTGCAGAAATATGACACATTATGCTAGCATGATATGCTATCTAGAACACCAGACCAATCACTGTGAGTGTTTATGCTATATATTACCATTAGTGTTGTCACAAAACTGGAATTCAACCGCGTCACGATACCTTGAAAAATATCTATACGCTAATATTTGTGACAACACTAATTCTACTCTTTAAGTTGAGTGTTCACCGAAGTGTTTTTTTAGACTGCAGAAATATGACATGTCATGCTAGCACGATATGCTATCTAGACTACTAAACCAAGAGTGTTTTACGCGATATATTTGCCTGTGTTGTCACAGTAGTGGAATTTACAACTTCGATACCTTTCAAAATATTGATTTTCAATACCATTTTTTATCAAATTCTGCAAAAAGTATGCAAAATAAAGAAACAAGGAAAACTAATTATACAACTAAACCCTATAATGCTTGTGCAAGCACACCAGCAGTTCTTAAGTCCAAAAGGCAATAAATTACAACTAAATTAGTGCAATCTCATCTTATTTTCTGACTAAAAACAGTGTTGAAATCTTAATATGATAATAATAGTTATAATAATAATAATAATACATAAATTATTATTATTATTATTATTATTGTTATTATTATTATTATTGTTATTATTATTATTATTATTAATAATATTATTATTATTAATTGTATTATTATATGCTCACTAGATTACCAGACCAAGCCCTCTGAGTGTTTACACAATATAGCAAAAGGGTTAAAATCTTAAAATTATTATTAATAATTATTCTTGTGAGAAGGGAGAGTGCAAGAGAGCAAAGCCAGTACCAATACTAGCTAAAAGCAAGATTGTATGGATATACCGATATATTTGACAACACTAATTCCCAATTTACAATAGGTTATCTAGACGACCAGACTAATCACTGTGAGTGTTTACGCTATATACTCCTATTTGTGTTTTCACAATAGCCGAATTTCCAACTTTGATACCATACCTTGAAAAAATATTTATATTTGATACCCTTATTGATAGCAAAAAAATAACGAAATCATATAATGCTTATACAAAGTACGTTACGTGAAGGTACGTAACCTGGAACGTCATTTTTAGACTAGCTTAGAGCGCCATCTGCTGTTAAAACTAGCCTAGAGTGTTGTCTATTTCTAAAAACTAGCCCAGAGCGCCGTCTGCTGTTAAAACTAGCCTAGAGCGTCATCTGTGGCTAAAAACTAGCCTAGTGTCGTTTATAGCTAAAAACTAGCCTAGAGCGCCGTCTGCTGTTAAAACTAGCCTAGAGCGCCATCCACTGTTATAAACTAGTCTAGAGCGCCATCTACTGTTAAAACTAGCCTAGAGTGCCATCTACTGTTATAAACTAGTCTAGAGCGCCATCTACTGTTAAAACTAGCCTAGAGCGCCATCTACTGTTATAAACTAGTCTAGAGCGCCATCTACTGTTATGAACTAGTCTAGAGCGCCATCTACCATTATAAACTAGCCTAGAGTGCCATCTACTGTTATAAACTAGTCTAGAGCGCCATCTACTGTCATAAACTAGCCAAGAGCGCCATCTACTGTTTTAAACTAGCCTAGAGCGCCATCTGCTGTTATAAACTAGTCTAGAGCGCCATCTACTGTTATAAACTAGTCTAGAGCGCCATCTACTGTTATAAACTAGTCTAGAGCGCTATCTACTGTTATAAACTAGTCTAGAGCGCCATCTACTGTTATAAACTAGTCTAGAGCGCCATCTACTGTTATAAACTAGCCAAGAGCGCCATCTACTGTTATAAACTAGCCAAGAGCGCCATCTACTGTTATAAACTAGTCTAGAGCGCCGTCTGCTGTTATAAACTAGACTAGTGCGCCATCTACTGTTATAAACTAGTCTAGAGCGCCATCTACTGTTATAAACTAGTCTAGAGCGCCATCTGTGGTAAAAATCAGAATGATTTCTGGATTGGATTGATCATCACACCTCTAATAGACATTGTAAAGTTCAACAAATAAGCAAATATATAACTTGTGTGTGTGTTTGTGTGCGCAGAGGCGACTCCAGCTATCGTGCAGCCCAGGCACACGTCTGAGGCGGGCTTCCAGAACTGTCCGCGGTGCCGGGGCCCAGGCTGCGGGGCCGAGGGGAAGGCCATGCTGGAGGGATACTGCAACAAGTGCTTCGTGAAGGAACAGAGCGCCAGACTCAACCAAGCTGCTAGCAGAGGCTCTCAGTCCCCACCACTCGTCACGGTAAACCTCCTGCTTATATAAAGGTTCACACCAAACAAGATAACAGTGGGCGTGGCTTGTTTTTTCTACCGCGAGCTGATTTGATGTAGCAAAGTGGGCGTTTCATTCAGACAGATGTGGTATAAGGGTTTGAGGAGGGTGCTTATCTAACAGACTCCTCCTGCTCACCATTCCTGTCGTTGTTTTTCCCAGCGTGCATCGAAAGCTCGTCCTCCTCCTCCAGTGCTGACCCAGGCTCAGTGTCGGCGCAGCGGCTGTAAAAACCTGTCTCCAGGCTGCACAGATCTCTGTCCGGACTGCCTGAGCCGTGGTCAGCGTGAGGGTCGGCGCGCTCAGGCTCCCAAAGAGAAAAGCAAACAGCGCTGCAAAACTCAAGGCTGCGACCACTACGCCAACCAGGAGAAACAAGGCTACTGCAACGAGTGCGACCACTTCAAGCAGATCTACAGGGGCTGACGACGCTACGGAGGATCAAGGCTACTAAAGGGCCCGGTTTATGCTGGCGAACACTTTTACACTTTTATTTTATTTGGTGCCCAGAATCTGCTATCTATCTTGGGCAGGGCCTAAAAGAGCCCGGTGGTGCTGTAGAATTGGCGAATAATACCTCTGTAAGTGAAGTATCACGTGTAAATACACTGCAGACATATGCTTTTCTTATTTAGAGGTTTTGTCTCATTGCTAGTCGGAATACAGTTAAATTATTACACCCCCCCTTTATATATTTTCCCCAATTTCTGTTTGTAAACATAACACAATGTCTAATAGCTGATTTCTTTTCTCTTTGCCATGATGACAGCACATAATATTAGACTAGATATTCTTCAAGACACTAGTATTCAGCTTAAAGTCACATTTAAAGGCTTCACTGGGGTAATTTGGGTAAAGTCAGGGTAATTAGGCAAGTCAAGTTTAAAACAATTAAATTTTTTTTTATTCTAGCTGAAATAAAGAAAATCAGACTTTCTCCAGAAGAAAAAGAGGACATACTGTGAAAAATCCCTGAATCTGTTCAACATCATTTGGGAAATATTGGAAAAACAGATAAAAATTCACAGGAGGAGGAATCATTTTGACTTCAACTCTACCTAAAACTAGAACGAAAAATAAAATAAAATAAAATAAAATAAAAATATTTATATTTGTATTCAGAAATAATGAGTCAAAATTAAGTGAGTTTTTCCACTTAAAACCAGCTGCTAATGGGCTTAGTGAAATAATCTTATTTTTAAAGATTACTTGCTTAGAGATTTTGTCTTATTTCTAGTCCACATGTTTAAAGATTTTTCAATCAAAGAGAATTTTATAGTTCACAATTAACAATTGTGTCAAAACTATTGTAATTTATTGATTTTATTTCTCTCTTGGGTCAAAATTAAGCAAGATTAGCTCAATTAAACTGTTTTTTAGATTATTTAACTTGCCCCACTGGAAGATTATTTTCCTGAAATATCAAATATTGATATATAATAATATTAAGTATTTATTTTCACCTGGTTTCAGAATTTCTTTATATTTTAGACTCAAAATGAGACTAAATTAAGTGAGTTTTACCTTAAAACAAGCTAAATGAACTTATTATTTTACTTACTAAACTGGCTAAATATTTTCTTACCATAGATATTGATATAATGTAAAGTATTAATATTTAAAAAAGCATATTTTGTTAACCACAAAACAGTAATTTCACTTGAATTAAGAACTTTCGGTGGGGTCCGCAAAATAAACTTGTGTTATTAGATTATTCTACTTACCCAGCTGGCTAATTATTTTGCTTATCCTATTCATAGAGATATTAATATAATATTAAGTATTAATATAAATACAAAACATATTTTGCATGCCCAAAACATAAATTTTCACTTCATTTAAGAACTTATAGATACTTCAGACTCAAAGCGAGACTTAATTAAGTGAGTTTTTCCCTTAAAACAAGCAATTTAGTGGGGTCAGCAAAATAAACCACTCTTTTAGATTATTTTACTTACCGAACTGGCAAATTATTTTACTCATCCTATTCATCAATAATAAGTAAATACACAATAATATAATATAAATAATAATAATATAAATACACAAACATATTTTGCTTGCCCCAAAACATTCATTTTTACTTGATTTAAACTTAAAAATGAGATTAAATTAAGTCAGTTTTTCCTTTACACAAGCAAAATAATCTTCTGTTTATCTTTAGATTCATTTAATTACCCTACTAGCAGATTATTAAGCTTGTTTTAACTAAAACACTCACTTAATTTTTACTCATTATTCCTGAAAACAAAAAAAAATCCAGAAAAGCACCTTAAATATGGGTCAATTTGGACTCAAAATGAGACAAAAACTCTAATTAAGATAAGCATTGTCTGCAGTGTGATGTCTGTGGTTTATATTGAACAGGGTAAATAGTGTAAAACTGAGAGGTGAGCGTGGATATGGAGTTACTGGATTTTTTGATTCTCAACAAAATTTGCCAAAGTTAATGTATTGGAAAACATCGCCACTGTGGACTGCAGAAAACCTCCAGGCCTTTTAGAAAGTACAGGAACACTGCATCAAAATGCTTTGAGTGTTGGTCTTGTTTCTAGTCCAAATATCTACAAACTCTTAAATCAAGAAGCATTTTCCAGACAAGCAATAAATACGGTCTTGTTTTCAGAAATAATGCGTCAAAATGAAGTGAGTTTTTCCTTAAATCAAGCAAAATAATCATAAAGAAAATCATCAAATGATCATAAAGGGGAAAAAAACAGTTTTTCCTTTGATTAATTTACTTACAATAACCTATTTGCTGATTATTTAGCTTGTTTTAAAGAAAAACTTGCTTGATTTTTGACTCATTATTTCTGAAAACAACACAACATTTGTTTGCTTGTCCAGAAAAACGTCTTGATTTAATAGCTTTTAGATATTTGCACTAGAAACAAGACACAGAATCTAAATAAGACAAGCATTTTTAGCAGTGAACGAGACGTACAGGGTATGCGGAGACCACCGAAGGACAGCGTTTGATCGTTTTCTTCATAAAATGTAGGTTAAGTGCCAATGAGAGTTCGCTAAGCAGAGCTCCATTTCATTCCTGCTGCGTCATCTGATGTCTGACAGCAGCGCGGATCTGTTGCCTTTCACAACACTGCAAACAAATGCTGAAATACTGAGCGTTTGTCCTGTTTTTAGTCTAAATATCTAACAATTCTTAAATCAAGAAGCATCTTCAAGACAAGCAGTTCATGTTGTTTTGTTTCTAGTGAAAAACATTAGTAAGTTAGCCGTTTTCATCTTTATTTCTGCTTTTGAATTGCATTATGGGATTTTAATCTGTCATGCAACTACCTTTAACCCTGAAAAGCTAAAAAAAGTGACTTTTATTGACATTTTTTTAAATAAAACTTTTGTTTTTGTGCTTTTTGCATTATTAACTACAACAAAAATATAGAAAAACAACACAATAAAATAATAAATATACATAAAAATACCAACCTATGACAGAACAACAGATGGACAAATGCACATGAAAGCAAAATATAATTTGGCTGATCACGTAATGCATAAATAAAAGTCATTTTAAACTAACATTGTTCTTATATTACCTGAAAAATGTATTATCCTGACTATAATGTCAAGTTTGGGCACATTATTACAACACATTAGAGATTATGAATGGTGAATATCAATTACTCTCAAGCTTTAATTACTATGTTATTGGTTGAATCGTGCATTTCTTCCAGTGCATTAAGGTGTTTTAATATCTGCCCCCATGTTTGATCAAATATCTCAGATTTATCATTATTGATATACTCAACCTGTCCAAAGCAAGCATGTTTACGAGATCTCTAGCCCAAAATACTAAAACCTACAGGAACAGATTCAGTTTTTGCACTCTCAAAATCCCACTTTTGATAATTACCATACCAAAAATCATGGCTTGTCTTTAGAATTTATTAAACATTCCTCAATTACTAAATATTATTGACTTTTTATAATGTAAAGTGCTATATTGTCTGGGTTTGGTGTTGTATATCATGCTACAAACACCTTGTAATAAACTTCCAGCACATTTTCTGGTATTTTACAGATTTATTTCTCTCTATATTAGCTATTTCTTATAAATTATACACTCACCGGCCACTTTATTAGGTACACCTTACTAGTACAGGTTAGGTTGCTTTCAGAACTGCCTTAATCCTTCATGTTATAGATTCAACAAGCTACTGGAAATACTTCTCAGAGATTTTTGGTTCACGCAGTTGCTGCAGATTTGTCGGCTGCACATCCATGATGCAAAACCATTCTCTATAAACCTTAGAGATGGTTGTGCGTGAAAATCCCTGTAGATCAGCAGTTTCTGAAATACTCAGAACAGCCCGTCTGGCAGCAACACCTATGCCATGTTCAAAGTCACTTAAATCCCCTTTCTTCCCTATTCAGATGCTCACTTTGAACTGCAGCAGATCGTCTTGACCATGCTTAAATGCACTGAGCTGCTGCAAAGTGATTGGCTGATTAGAAATTTGTGTTAACCAGAAGTTAGACAGGTGTACCTAATAAAGTGGCCGGTGAGTGTATTATTTCAAGCGACTAAAATGTCACTAAAAGTCACTTTGTTTTTAATTTTTAACATCAGAGGTCGACAGAACAGAGATCAACATCCCATAATGCAATTCACAACCTCAAATAAATGCAAAACACAAAATATTGTTCATTACCAGATATTTTTACACAGAGTATAAGTAAATATTAAGATTAAATATTATGATCTGCCAGTGGGGCGTCAGTGTAATAATATTCTCAACGTGTAAACAAGATTATTTAGCTCGTTTAAATGAAAACGCACTTAATTTTGATTATTTCTTAAAACAAGACAACATTTATGACTTGTCCAGAAAATGCTTCTTGATTTAAGATGTTTTAGATATTTAGACTAGAATCGAGACACAAACCCGAAGTAAAAAGGCATTTATTTTGCATTTGTTTACCATTGATGACTTATTTCCCCCCACACAAAGTCCTTCTTTGCTCTTGAAAGTATTTTTGACTTCTGCTTGCCTTTGCTGATCTTCATGCGACTAACGGTCTGTTCTACTGAATGGATATGTTCATTTTTATTTTTGTGGCTGAAAAACTCCTTAAGTGCAATGAAAACTAATACTTGACACCTTCCCGGATGTGTTGAGCAGATGAGATTAAAGCTGAAGGGAATGTAAAAAAAAAAAGAAATAATTTACAGCAAAAAGCTGAAGTTGCTGTCAAAACGCAAACACTGTCATATACAGTGCTCAGCGTAAATGAAAACACACCCCTTACTGATCATATTTAGCATTTATATCATTCATATTTAATCTGCAGGATGATTTACTGTAATATCATTGTGCATATACATTAGATTAATCAGTACCGAAGAACTAATCAAACATAAAAAATTAATCACCCATAATAACGTTGGGAAAATTATTAAATTATTTAATAAAATTATTACATTTTACTTTAAAATATAAAGCAACATGATTAATAATCAGGAAAAATCAAGAGAAACATCTTAAAAGAGAAACAACAAAAAAAATCGATTTAATTTAGAATTTGTAATTTAATGCATATAACTGTTTCATTAAATAATAATTAATTAATAAATACATCATTAATAATAACAACAATTTCATTTAAATCCAGTAAACAATATTGTCTATATTCACTGAGATTCAATACAGTCAAAAACTTTTATTTTAATGAATATAATAAATATAAAATAAAATAATTAAATAAAATATTAAAATTATTATTTAAATAAAAATTGTATTTATTAATTTTATTGA